TGCACTCAAGCACACCTCTACAGGAGCTAAATTACAACAAACACAAACAATGGGGATGGATGGATGGACAGGTGGTTGGATGGATGATAAAGGAATGGATGAATGGGTGGATGGATGTTATAAGAAAATGGCTGATGCTGTTTTACTTGTTCAAATCTAACAGCTCATTTAATATTATTAACTGACAAAACTAACACTATTAGCAGACAGGTGCCAGTACTTAACAATAAAGTAACACAATTTTTTTAGGGACTATGAAAGTATTCTGATTCTGATGATTCTGATGAATGTGACGACTTTAAAGCTTGAGAGAGGAAAGAGGATCACGGTTACTTTAATCCCATATTTGTGTGATAAAGAATGTGTTCAGATGCAAGGAGGCAACGGTTTGCTGTCAGTAATGAAATTATTTAATCTTATTTACTCTAATATGCCACACGTTAGCAGCATTATTTACAAAAATATTATGTGCTGTGAATCAGGGTTGACATGACTTGGCGTTGTCACGATCCTGGGTCATTTGACCCAGCGTTTCAAGTTTTAGTTTTGTTTTTTTAAATGTTTATGGTTTATGTTTAAGTTCATTAGGTTATCTAAGTTCGTTTGTTTATCAGATTCCCTTGTGTTTTCAACGCCTGTGTTAAGTCTTCCTTGTCCTTTTATGTGTTTCATGTCTGCATGTCTTTTGTTGTCAAGTTCATGTAGTCATGTCTGTGTTTCATTATGTTTCCCGTTTTATTTTGAAGAGGTCCTGTGTTCTTAGGTCAAATGTGATTAGTTGTACTCTCCCCTTGTGACTTTGTTATGTTCATTTGTTTCAGCTGTTTCCCTATGTGTTTCCACTTCCCTCATTATCCTCCTGTGTGTATTTAGTCCGTGTGTTTTCAGTCATTCCTTGTCAGGTCGTCTGCTAATCCACGTTGTGTCTCCAGGTATCAACGCCAGTCTTCATGTTTAAGTTGTTTTTTTTTCATGTTTTACTTTTAGTTCACCCAGTTTAGGTTTTTGTTTAGTTTCACCCATGCCCTTTGTTTGTATCCATTTTTGCCAGCCTTAATAAACGGCTTGTTTTTGTCCATGCCACGTTTCACATTCTGTTTTGGACTGCAATTGAGTCCTTTTTACAATACATACTCACGTAATGTCACCTCAGCCAGACTGTGACAGGCGTTAAGGCCTACCTGTGCATTTATGCATGTGAGTGAACCAATGTGGATCATTAAAATATCACCAGATCACCTGATAAATGGGCATTGGCACTTAGGTCACATGCCCCATAAGCCAGATTCTATGAATCATCAAATGCAGGTGGCATCTTTGCCTGTTGGGGCATCACTGGAAGCTCTAATTTGCATTTGTTCACTCAACTACTTCTGACCCAACCCAGATCTCGGCTGAAGTCCCGGGGTGACGGTGCGTTTGCTCTGGCTGCCCCGGTACTGTGGAATACCCTTCCTCTCGACCTCCGCGCATCTGATTCCATTGCACTGTTCAAATCACGACTAAAAACCCACTTATTCAATCTTGCCTTTCCCTCTAGTTAATATTTCTTTTATGATTTTATTTCATGTACTTTTATGCTCATTTAAATTCTTGTTTGCTCTGTACCTGTTGCTTTCCTATGTATCAGTGACAGCTACCTGCTTGCATACTTAGTACTTGCTTTGGTCCTATTTCTATTATCCTGCTCCTATTCTCTATGTTACTTGTTAAGCAACTTGGCATACCGTTTGTTTTTAAGTGTGCTTTATAAATAAAGTTTATTATTATTATTATTATTATTATTATTATTATTATTATTATTATTATTATTTGTTGATCTTATTGAGCCAGCTTGTCTGCAGCAACATGTGAAACTGTCGAAACATTACTGTACACCAGAAGCAACTGTTGAAGGCAGCAACACTAGCTCTCTTATGAGAAAGAGCGATAGAAGAAAACACACACAAGGAATAAGCATAGAAGAATCGATTGCAGGAAAACTGAGAAGAAGAAAGGAAGAAGGAGTCAAAGGAGAGGAGCAGATATAAATTAGTCCTGTGACAAAGTGGGAAGGCTGAGCTTTAAAGGAATAAATCTCATTTCATTTTGGCCGGTAGTCACCGAGCTGACTGAACTAGATGAGAGGGCTGATTTAAGGAGGCATGACCTCAGTACCCTTGGGGGACCTTCACTTACAAGAACATTCACTTAGATCTGTTTTAGTTCGCTCTTCGTGAATGAGCCCAATCTCAGCTAGCATAAAAGCCACATGGGGTGTAAATGACAGGCTGAGTCAAAAATACAGAATTGCAAAGGAAATACAAGAGGATAAAACTTATTATCACCACTATTGTGATAAATCTCCTTTCCTGTTACAGTTTGTCAGTGAAATAAACTAAATATGTTTTTTTAAAACCAAAAAATAAGAAACGAGAGAACTAAAGTGCTGCTGCTGAGGTTGGACGTGCCTTTGCATAAATATGCACGCATACACAACAGGTTTTAAAATGAGGACAGTGCTCTGTGGGAAACATCTACAGGCTTCTCCACCACAGTACCCACACCAAACACCTAAACTTTCTTTATGCCTTCAACAAATTTCACTTAAAGTATAGATTTGAGTAGGGCTGCCACAAACTATTATTTTGATAGTCGACTAGTCACCGATTATTTTTGCGATTAGTCGACTAATCAGATCATGCATCCATTGGACGTAAAACGTACAGCTTATTGCACCAGCACGCATCTGCTCTTATATAACTATCATTAGCTTACAGCTTTAAGTGTTTAAGGTATGTACTAACTAAAAATAAAGACAAGATGATAGTTTATTAAATTTTGATGAAATTTGCAGATTGTTTCAGTGAAGTTTAATAAACTCCTTGCTATCTAAAATATAACGGGACACCGGAGTATATTCTCGAGCATCTCACAGTTCTGATAATCAGTTGTCTGCTTGACGTTTATTCAGCTGTGTAAAAACTACAACTTTAATCTCAGCCAAACCGATTTACTCAGGAACAAATAAAATACTAAAAAAAGCCAAACAATAACATTTTTAAGTTATCTAAGTGACTTATATGTGTTTAACCTGAGTAGCGAAAGACGGCAGTGGGTTTGAAAACGATTTGCCGGGAGTCCGGTGTTCTCACGGGCTCTAGTGAGCCTTGCCCCCGGCTAGCTATCGAGCTAGTGGGTAACAGACTTCTCTGAAAACGTAGGAGCGCTTTTGAAAATGTGTGGTGTCTTGATAAACTGAGCAGATATTTGAGGTTTACACAGCTACATTCTCGCCTGAAAATATGTTAAACGTTTATTTTGTGACCCAGAAAGTATAATAAGAGCAATATTAAAACTAACTAGCTGCCGCCATTGTTGGAAACTGAGCAGGGCTGCGCTATGAATTCTGGGACAGAGCTACTTCTTCTTCGGGGTTTAACGGCAGCTGGCATCCTTGTACATGCAGTGCTGCCATCTTCTGTTTCAGTCCGTTATTACAATCTTAAATTATACTACTTATTCCTGCGTCTTTTGGGATCTTACAAAGCTTCAAACGACACGTCGACTATTAAATCAGTCATCGACGATTTTGATAGTCGACGTAATCGTGACTAGTCGACCAATCGTGGCAGCCCTAGATTTGAGAGCTCAAAGCACTGGAACTTGACCCATTTGCTAGTCCACTGAATTAGCCTCAGGGAGGAGGACCAATTTTTGGGAGCTTCTGGTGCAGTCAGGTCAGGTTTCCAGTTCACACATTCATTTTTATGAAGCCAGATACATTTTTTTAAATGCTACTAGAAGCCTATATGGTTGTCAGGTGATAGCTATAGTAATCACAGCTATACATTTTTAGATGTAATTTGTAACGGCCGCCATTTTCTTTGTGAGTATTTATTGCATTGCGTGCTGCGGGGGAAAGCCTGTTCTAATGTTTGAGTCTATTTTTTAGCACCTGACCACCCCTTTTTGCTTCTCATCCGTAAACTCTCTCCATACTCGTTCATGTGATTCTTGCGTAGGTGGTTGAAGAGGTTTGTCGTGTTTGAGTCTGTGGTAGGGACCTGTTTGCGGCATAATTTGCATAGTACAGTTTTCTGGTCCGTGTCAGACTTTTTCATAACCAAACCCTGTCCATGCTACAGCAGTAGCCCCTCCTTTAGGAATAAGGTCCTGGATTTGTTTTGACTGGTCCTTCTGTTTGGAGCTACCTGGTTCTGCCTCATCTTCACTGGCCATGCTGGTATTCTCTGTGCATGCATCCATGTGGTGACTGTAAGCACCATTTATAGCTACTTCATGTTTTTATTTGAGGTAATTTGTTTGATGCATATTCTGAAATTTGACGTTTGAGAATGATGTATATAATTTCAGTTTATTTTGAAAAGTCTCAACAGGATCTTGAGCTTTAATATGAAAGGTTTATGTGGGAAAATAAACAGAATAAGCAGATGGCGGAGTCACACGATTGTTTTTGCTAACGAAAGTACGCATAGAAACAGTCATCTGTCTGTCCATAGTGTGGTTATTTTAAATATAAGCGCAAGAGAGAACTTTAAGAAATTAATATAGCCACTACAGTGACCATCAAAACGATGAAAAAATATTGCCATAAACAGTTTATTTTGCGACACCACGAGACAAACAATAGCGTAATAAGAAAACGATAGATGTTTTCATATTGGCATCCAATATATATTGTCCTATTGAACAACCCTACTTCTGCTGCAGCGGCATCCCACCCAGTGGAGAATCAAGCGTGACTCCCCAAGAAGACTTAGCTTGAGCAAGTTGAAGACGATCTTAAATGACGACGTCTAACCCTTGAGTAAGCAAAGGTCAAGGCCACAGATCACAAGGCCTGGAAGTGCATCGTTGACCAAGATGAAAACCCTACAACACCCGCGGCAATGTATTGGCTTCATGCACGACCTCTCCTGCTGACTGCCAGCTAGGGACAAAAATATCTCCAACTCTAATGTATTCTCAGGAAAAGCATTTAGGACTGCAGTACTTACCACCTAGAGCTTGCTTCATTACAAAATCCATGATTCCTGCTGATTAGTACAGATGTTCTTCTTCAAGCTGGAGACAACTGAGCATGCAGCCACCAAGCCCGGGATCTGTGAGTGTCTCAGTTCTTCCCCCTTCCTCTGTGATGCCAAGCGTCTTCAGCAACTCTCTGCTGGACACAAGAGATTGAAAAAAGAAGCAATTAAACAAACCATACAGCTGTAAAACAGTAAACTGTTTTCCTCACATAGAAAAACACACCAGTGATTTGATTTAAATTTAAGCTTTTGCAGCTGTAAACAATCATATTTCCTCCTTTGTAGAAAGTGCATGATTACATCTCCAAACACGGTGAAAGATCCGCAACACGCCTGGCATCAGGCAGCATGAGACAGCATTTCCTTCTGAGTTTAAAACAACACATAATGGGATCTTTTTAACACTCTTTACCCCGTGACAGATATCCCTTCCTGGGAAGATCGTAGATCAATACTGAGCCCTTTTGCTCTGAGTCACTTATCCGACTGTAACTGAATACCAGAGCAGTCAATAAGTGGTCATACATATTTAATGGAAAAGTGAAAGAAATGCAGTTGTTTTCTATTTAGATTGACCTGAAACATATGAAAAATACTAAACATGTATGAGAAAATCAGGCTGTGCTCACTCATACAGCATCAACATAAAAACACACACTAGATTCATGAGAATGAAAAATCCTGTCTACATCAAAAGTCTATATCTAATTAATATTTCATACACTATGCTAATCTCACTGTCTCACTTTCAGAAGCGACTTCGTGTATTTCAACCCAGCTGGTAATAAAATCACTTTTGCATAAATTTCATCTTTAGCTAAATCTGATTTACTCAGCTTCAGTAAAGCTGCAGGTTTGACTGTGATTCAGTGACTGCAGTGCACACTTTTGTGTCTGTAATCAGAATTATTATTTAAACTGATTCTCAGAATAAATCGATCAGGTGGAATTACCAGCTGGGACATCGACTGTGCAGTAAAAAACTGTCGTATCATCTGTACAGAGACTGCAGATGAAAAATGTGAGCATGTAATGATTATTGCTGCTTTTCTGGAGTACTGATGGAACAAACTGTCATAAGATCTGATACTTGAAGATAAAATGCTGAAAATATGGCTGCATGTACAGGTCCTATTAAAGAGGTAATGTATGGATTTAACCGGTGCAAGAAAATAAAAATCCAGAATGTAAATAATGCAAGAGTGAATATGCATCTCGAAGAAGAAGCTCAGAAAAATTTAGCTAGCTGTAATATCAAATCCAGGAATTTGGATGACATTGGTACCAACTAGGGCTGCCAAGATTAGTCGACTAGTCACGATTACGATTTAAAGTTATAGTTTTTACACAGCTGAATAAACGTCAAGCAGACAACTGATTATCAGAAATGTGCGATGCTCGAGAATATACTGCGGTGTCCTGTTATATTTTAGATAGCAAGGAGTTTATTAAACTTCACCGAAACAATCTGCTAATTTCATTAAAATATAACAAACTATCATCTTGTCTTTATTTTTAGTTAGTACATACCTTAAACACTTAAAGCTGTAAGCTAATGATAGTTATATAAGAGCAGATGCATGCTGGTGCAATAAGCTGTACGTTTTACGTCCAATGGATGCATGATCTGATTAGTTGACTAATCGCAAAAATAATCGGTGATTAGTCGACTATCAAAATAATCGTTTGTGGCAGCCCTAGTACCAACTACTATATTTTCCATCCATCCATCTTCTTCCGCTTATCAGGGGCCGGGTTGTGGGGGCAGCAGCCTAAGCAGAGAAGCCTAGACCTCCCTCTCCCCGGCCACCTGCTCCAGCTTTTCCGTGGGAACCCCAATGCATTCCCAGACCACCTGAGAGATATAATATCTCCAGCGTGTCCGGGTACTTAAACTCTTCCACTTGGGGCAGGAACTCATCCCTGACCTGGAGTGGGCAGTCCACCCTTTTCCAGCTGAGGACCATGGCTTCAGATTTGGAGATGCTGATTCTCACACTCAGCTGTGAACAATTCCAGTGCAAGCTGGAGGCCATGACCTGATGAAGCCAACAGAACCACATCATCTGCGTAAAGCAGAGATGAGATTCAGAGACCACCCAAGTGAAAGCCAAATTGGCTACACCTAGAAATTCTGTCCATATAAATTACTAACAAAATCCGTGACAAAGGGCAGTCCTGGCAGAGTCCATCACCCACCGGGAACGAGTCTGACTTATTGTTGGCTTTGCAGACCAAGCTCTTGCAATGGTTGTATAAGGATCGAATGGCCGGTAACGATATTCCCGAAGCACCTCCCACAGGACACTCTGAGGGACACAGTCGAATGCCAAATCTACTATATTTTTTTAAAGTAAAACATCTAATTTATTATGGTGACATTAAACTGGCCAACATGACACTCACCGTGCATGTTCTTCAAATAGTTGACACTAAGGAGATGAGTGATAAAACTATGGTAACAGTTTGTTAGCATTGACAACGCTAGCAGTGCAGATTTTCTTCCCATCTGAAGAAAACATGCACAATATGTATTGTGCAAAGTTTGGATTTTAAGTTTCCTTTTTTCTTTGTTGGCTTCTTGGTCATTAGACAAATTGCAGCCTGAATGCTCATTGGCCCATTCTGAATACAGTGCCCCATCCTGTGCTGCTGTATAAACTCACTTGTATCTATTTGATTAACTGTGCAAGTGGCAGCCAAGATGAAATCCTCCACATTTATTGCACCTGGCGAACCAGAACAGCATTTCCATTTTGAAGCAGATCTCTCCTGCTCTCCTCGCTGAACACTCGTGGCATCATTTTGATACGCCAGTATTTGCCAGGGCTGAATGGTGCCGGGATGAAATAGGAAGGGACGGCAGATTGAGCTGCACAGCTTATTCTGGGAGGTGACACGGGAGACGAGGCCGAGCGGGATGACAATCCATTTGTAACTGTGACCGAGCGCCTCGAGGGGTGAAGTACCTCATTTCAATACACACACATTCAGAAATTCAAAATCAGCATGCTCACCCACACGCAAGATTTGATTAAAAAGACTGCAAATGTATGCTGATAGACAATAGAAGAAATGTCAGACTGTTAACCTGGTGAGGAGAGTAAGTGTTTCTGCATGAATGTGTGCGTGCTTACGGAGAGGTGCATGCAGAAATATGTGACTATCATTTGAGTTTAACTGGAATCACATGTCAAAGAACTCTGAACAGCTGTGTATGTGTGAGTAAAGTCTCTTTAGTCATAAGCTGTTGGCTTTTCCAGTTTCCAGCCTCAGTCCAGTGACATGTAACTGGCTGGACCTTTGCAGCCTGTTGTTTACATGTTGTAGCTGTGTACTGACACCAGGGGGCAGTGTCAGAAATACGCTGACCAGCTGGTCTGGTCTGGCTCATGTTTTTGCTGTTGTCAGACCTTTAGCTTAGCCGCTCCTACAGGTATGACCAAAGTCGTAAAAGAGGAAGAATGAGTGTTTTAGCGAACTGAACGTGAACATTATAAACAAAGAAAACACGCCATTGCAGCCCACTTGGGCTTGTAATCACATTTTTTTGATCTTTAATTTATTTTTGTGCTTCTTTCTGCTCCTAAATGCTGCAGTTGCTCCTTCTCTATTGAAGCCCACTTTTCAACCACACCACGTGCGTGTTGCATTCTTAAAATCCATCACAAATGCACCACAAACTGCACTTTGTGATAATTAGTCATTCTAAGCTGGCTGTGTAGGTGTTGCCTCAGCGTCTGGTGCCGTCCAAGCTGACTTCTTACAGACCTGACTAGCTAAATCAAACAGGTCACTTTGGTTCAGTTGGAGGTGAAAGTGTTTTTTTTTCCTTCTGCCTTGAGTACTTTTTTGGTCACTCTCTCAACAAGACGGCAGCTGTCGTGGTAAATGTCCCGGCTGCTTTAAGAAGTTCAGAGGTTACAGTCCTTACGGTGTGTTCACACCGAACGCGATAGAGGCAGGCGGAGCGTCAGGTTTACATGTAAAGTCAATGGAAAGGCGCGCTGACCCGCGATTGCGGCCCCCGCGAAAATTCGGAAGCGTTTTGGCGTCGCGAAAACGCAAAAACGCCAGAAACGCGCGTGAGTGTAGCGCGTTTCAGGCGTTTGACTCGCGAAAAAATCCACGCGCGTGAGTTAATGTGTTGCATTTTGTGCATACGCGCGTTTCGCCTCCCCCGCTCGAGTTGGAAAAATCTGAACTCCAGCGTAAAATCGCGCCGCGACAACCAATCAGGAGCCTGGTGACGTGGCTGTTACCTAGTTCAAAGGGGCAGATCCAGCCAAAGCCATTCATTCTGCATTCAAAATGGAGGAGAAACTAATCAGTGCTGTGGCAAATCATCCAGAATTATATGATGCTACCTATTATTTCTACCGAGACAGGAATAAAAAGGACCTAGCTTGGAGACAAATCAGTGAGGAGATCGGGCAACCTGGTAAGTTCATTCCTACTTTTTAATTTTCAGACTGACCCGATGAAGCCGCGCAAAAGCTAGCAAGCTAGCAAGCCCGCCTACTGTCCCGCGATTTGCCCACTGTCGTACAAATAGCTTTCCGCTAACCAGATAATGCGTTTATTCTTTCAAAGATACCGGTCTAGCACAACTTCCTCCCACATCCCTCCCACATCCCTCCCACATTTCCGGTTCACGCGCGTGAAAATATGATATTTTGGGGCGCGGGCGATTTTTCTTGGACACGCGTAGAGGTCGCGAATGTGCAGGCGTCAAGTTAGGGGCGTTTTGGCGTTTTTTCACGCGCCCATCGCGTTCGGTGTGAACACACGGTTACAGTCACCTGCAGTTCAACTATTAGATATTAAACTCATTCTTTTAACCACTGAGGAAGAGAAACAAATATATACCTGTGGCCTTTTGGATGAATGGACTGCATTCATACAGCTGCACAGCTCTAGTCTTCCAAACCGCTCAAAGTGCTTTATACTACAACCACATTTACTCACACACACACTTTTAATATAGCAATAAATATACAATTTAACTATCACGCACAGTTTATGGGCTTCTGATAGCGAGCGAGCCTCTGTGTCCTTCAACAGAACAATGAACACTGGAAACAGACGCCACACAACGAGGAAAGGATTCTTTCTTATTATGCTGCTTTCCTGA